CTCGACACAAACTCACGATCTCAGTGGTGATTTACATTCACAATCAACACTTAATAACACTTAACTATTCATAGGCGAGAGAGAGAGAGAGAGAGAGAGAGAGAGAGAGATTTAACGTCCACTCGACATATGCTAGGTAATTTCGGAACTAACACATGGTTCAATTTTATTTCAATAATTCGCTTGCCCGCAGGGGTCTTTAGCAGTGGGAGGAAACTGGAGGACCCGGAGAAAACCAACGAGGTTGCACAGGCGACTCTACCCCCTTGTCAGAGCTTGTTCATACAAGAAGGGATAGAAATTATGAAAACAATCAGTGTCTTGTTATTCAAAGATTAATTGTCTTATTTTCAATCATATAGGATTACGTAAATAACATCGATAATGATACAATTAGACGTAGAATACAAGTGTTAGTGAAATGATTCATCGTATAAACAACGACCATTGTTACAGGACGTAAAATGACACCTAGTATCTCCCTACTTCTAATTCTTACATACATATAATCACCGTGTAGAAACTATTTTTTTCTAATAAAGAAGAAAATAAAACTCTCTGTTAAAATTGTAAGTAAGTGTAATATTATAAGGGTGGTATGCGTTACCATTAAGTGTTAAATGTGTCAAAGACATGTTGGATACTGCTGACTGTCTCTTTCAGGTAATACGACACCGAATGGGTGTGGGGGTTGTAGTCAGTTGTCTCCCCCTGTATTCCTTGTAGCCTAGAACATTAATTTTACCTGACCTGAAAACACTATATATATATTCTGTCACTGGTATCATATTTCTCTATTTCAGCCTGGCATGTTTGTTTTCTGGGAAGGTTTACCAAAATGGCTTGAAATTCAATATTTTTATTATGTTTAAAAAGTCGACAAAAAGACCAAGTTTCATTTATGTAAGAATATTGCGTTACAGTTGTCTGTTTGGCATATTTTCTACCTTGCAATATGGCGCATATTAAATTGCACGGTAATCCTATCTCCGCGGGAAGCCTTAGTGTGATAAGACGGTAGGTAAATTAATACCCTCTACGTGCAATCGTGAATGCAAAGAATAGAAGAAGCTAAGAATATCAGCCCACGGCTTCAGTGTTCATTACAACACATATCGAATTAACGTTATCCATGTGATATAAGGTCGGGCTATTAATATCTTTGGGAGGTGCATCTACGTAAGATTTACACTGACTTTGATATGGCTATATGTAATACGAGATGTTCAGATTGGAAAGAGAATGTACCCCTTGTTCTAGCAGGTTATCCCTTAAAGCGCTTCTGATAACATCATCTTTTGCAATCTGTTAAATAACGACTCGTGCCATACCTGAACTTAACGATTCCAACTTGAAAGCGGTTCTTCTATTAAATTCCCGACTGACATGATATATAAGTTAACTTTTAATAGCCTGTATATAGCAAGTTATATACATAAAGTATGGAATTACACCCCGTTCAAAATTAAAATAATTTGGCAACAGGTCAACGTTCGACGTCAAATATAGACTGGATCATTATTGCAATTTTTAAGACGAAGAATTTCAGGTATTTGTTGTGTTCTAATTTAAAACTAATATCAAACCAACAAAATATTTCATCTCTAAAACATAATTACAATACACCAATATATTCATTAACTCAATTTTATTGAATGTGTTTTATTCTTTATAAATATGCATTTCCTTCTATATTTGCTGTCTTAAACATGCATTATGCAAGAGGTAAATCTGCCTATTGCAGGTCTTTCTTAAGGCCTGAAATGTTTTCTAAAGTATTAATTAGACATTTATTAACATGACAAGACCATAATCAACTCTCGATGGGTCCGATTTGCAACAGATTTGCAACAGGTTGTTGATGATTAATCGAGACTTTGTTTATTATTGTAAAAACGGTAACAATGACAATCGAGGCTACGGTGTTATTAAAATGAGGATTTCTAGACTTAGAGTGAAGTAATTTGACTGGAATTTTTAGAACTGGAGCTGTCAGCTCTTTGTCTAATCTTCCATAATTCCGCTTTAATTATCCCAGACGGTGCAGAACAGTAGGACGTTAAACCTCATTTCATTACTTTATATATTTAAATTCGTAATCCAAAAAATCTTTTTAAATAAATGCATAGAAATATTGTGTATAACGAACAATTCATGTTTTTGAAATTGAATGATTTGGCCCTTGTGGTCTTAAAGGGACAATAACACTCTTGCTGGCTTGACAGCTCCAGAAAATAAAAAATAGCCTTATTCTAAGTACTAGATGTGTTAGTGTCTTACCTGTTGTGTAAATTATTCATTAAACCCTATTTTACTTGTCCAGAGGGTTCAAAAATATTTTTAAATCCAAGTCACATTTGAAAAGCTTTACGTCAGGCTTTTCAAATCATTTAGTTGAATTTTTCCAATTTTTTAAATTAGGTGTGTTAAAAGATGAAATTTGTATCATCAACTAATTGGATTATTGTAAAATAGTACAATTTGTTGACCAGAATAAAGATTGGGACATATTATTCAACAAGAGTGGTATTGAGCCTTTAAGCACACCTGAGTTATAGGATACTTTGTGATACATCTCAACTTTATTTGCACCTAGCGTGTACACATTCCCGTGTTCGTAAAAGAACCACAGACAGTTGGAATTCGACGTAAGAGTATAAAGGCCGTAGCGCTGCTGTCGGGGCAAACATTTCCCTTACTGCATAGCGGGGGGGGGGGGGGCGACACCTCCCATTGCTCAGCTACATATATTTTTTTGTAAATCAACACTTTTTATGAGAAAAGTTTCTCGGCCGTATGCTTTATCCTTTATCGTCAGATGTGAGACAGGATGGGCACTCAAAGCATGAGATAATGATATAGACATTATGTGATATCACAATTAATGCTTTGCATCCATGAAATTGAATGTCGTTGTATTAATTCATAATAAAAATTGACGTCAAACGAGGTGTTGAATTTCTCTGTTTAAAAAGCTCAATGTGTATGTATATACGCCAAAATGACGATAGAGACCATGCGGGGGGGGGGGGATACATTGTCCCAGGAACCTGGCAAACCCCCTCCTGCAAAAATTCCTGGATCCGCCCCTGTAGTCGGTACAGAAAAAAGTGTGAGGTTAAACCCCATTTCATTTCATTTATTTGCGCAGGAGTCGTTTGTCAGTCACAAAAAAATCAGAGCTGATTGTTCAGTTTAGCTTATGTGGTCAACAAATGCTGCGATTTGGTTTTTAAAATTAGTTTTCAGATATTTGTGTAATAAGCACAAGGTCGATAAGCCTGCAGCATACCAATCTGAAAAAAAACCACCAAAAAAAAAAACCAGACTGGGTATATACAAACATTTTAGTGAAAAATGAAAATTTACTGTATAATTGGGAATCAGTAGATATTCTGTAACTTTCTCGAAATTTTTAAAATAAATTTTAGTCTGAATATACAGCAACACGTCAGTGAAGGGTTCCGGAGTGCCCAAATCGCCCAATGTGTATGTATATACGCCAAAATGACGATAGAGACCATGCGGGGGGGGGGGGGGGAGGATTCATTGTCCCAGGAACCTGGCAAACCCCCTCCTGCAAAAATTCCTGGATCCGCCCCTGTAGTCGGTACAGAAAAAAGTGTGAGGTTAAACCCCATTTCATTTCATTTATTTGCGCAGGAGTCGTTTGTCAGTCACAAAAAAAATCAGAGCTGATTGTTCAGTTTAGCTTATGTGGTCAACAAATGCTGCGACTTGGGTTTTAAAATTAGTTTTCAGATATTTGTGTAATAAGCACAAGGTCGATAAGCCTGCAGCATACCAATCTGAAAAAAAAACCACCAAAAAAAACCCCCAGACTGGGTATATACAAACATTTTAGTGAAAAATGAAAATTTATTGTATAATTGGGAATCAGTAGATATTCTGTAACTCTCTCGAAATTTTTAAAATAAATTGTAGTCTGAATATACAGCAACACGTCAGTGAAGGGTTCCGGGGTGCCCAAATCGCCCAGATTGACCGCTCTTCAAGAAATGGCTCGACTTTTTTTAGAACAAAGATCTTTGCACTGACGGTCGAAGTGTGGAGAAATGCTTTTAATGAAAATGTTGTCATGGACATACACTAAATTATTATAGGTTCCATAATATTATCAAAACAAAATTTAAACATGTTACGGAGCATTGTTGTGGGTTTTTTTTGGTGGTGAGTGGGGTTAGCTGGGTTGAGTTTTTTTTGTGCCTCATGCATTAATTTAGAATCTAGGCTTAAGATTTTTGATTTAAATGAGAATATTGTCATGTATGGACATATACTAGATTATTATAGAGTTCATATAATATTATCAAAGGAAAATTATTTAAACATGTTACGGAGCATTGTTTTTTTTTCTGGTGGTGGGTGTGGTTGGGTAAGTTGTGCCTCGTGCGTTAAGTTAGGATCGAGGGGAGATATATTAATCCAGGAAGCTTCGGCTATAATGTGTCCATAATATTATCATTTAAACATGTTACCGAGCATTGTCGTTCTTTTCTGATGGTGGGTGGTGGGTGTGGTTGGGTGGGTTGTGCCTCATGCATTAATTTAGTATTGAGGCGAGATAGATTAATCCAGGAAGCTTCAGCTATAATGATCATTCTCTGTAAAAAATATTTATTATCAGAATTTATGTAATAAATGTATGTTCTGGAGTCATGGATTTTTTTATTGATTGTCTGCTATGTATGAAGTATAGAAGAGACCAGACGCCAACTGATTTGATCAGATCGTCGAAAAACATTATCTTGAACGTCTTGTAAAGACAGGAGATAATTACTCAACTCTACTCGGAAGATAAAAGAATGGTTAGGCAACAACCCTTCCCGACAGGCGTGTGGTTAGACATTATATTATAAAATTTAAATTCCACAACTAGAGTGTCCAGTGTTGGAAAGAAAAAAAAAGGGGCGGGAAGGATCCATTGCGCCATTGGTGAAGTGTAATTTACTACTACAAAGCTTTCTGTCTGTTTCTCTATAGCCGGCATATTATTAGTATCAATATGGAGTATCGGGTTGCACGCAGCTCAGTTTACAAGTCAATACAGTCGAGTTTTAACGTGGATCGTATAGCAAACAAATCTACTGCCGCGCGATAGAAGCCGTCTGACCATGGACAAGGATAGAAGGAAAACACCCCAACCCAAAGACATTACAATTAAACAGGAACCCAGTGACGATATCAAGGTAAGAAGGGTGTATATGTGAGAGAGAGAGTGAGTGAGACAATATTAACAGGCGGTCTGTGGTAGCGTTGAGCAATGAGCTCTCTTAGTTATCTCGACCACTGGCTCGATCGGTGGTTCGGTAATCTTGAACATCCTACAAGTTATTGAAGAAAGTGTTATCTTACCGTAGTTTCAACACTACAACAAATTGCGACCATTGTTCGCATTCTATTCTTGATATTGATAAAAAAAATTCTAGTAAAAAATGTTTATTGGTGTCGGTTAATAACCAGACTACAGTGTTTTACGTTAGTAAGTTTATGTATCGTAACAGTCTATATTGTCAACTTTTCAACACTTAGATAAAATCCGGTTTGTTTTGGTCATTATTAAGGGTTTCATTGTTCAATATCGACAAATTTGCAATTAAAGTTTAATATCCATTTCGAAAAAAAGTTTTCTTTTAGTATGGATAAGAGTTAAAAATCAATTGTCAACTTATTTGATTTTACACAAAATCGTTAAATGATCATGTGTGTAGTTTACTTTCAATTTTAAAAAATCAATGTTTGTAATGTTATATTTAGTACTGACATCCCTCATAATATTATCGTCGGTGTTTTTTCTGATCCGGAACGTCGACACCACTATAGAGTGGGACCAAATTTTGTCTTGCTTCACGAATAACCAGACAACGGCTTCCCTCGCGTTGTGTATTAAAAAATATATAGCAAGATAAAACGGAATATCAAATTCTTACGTCCCTTGCATGTATTTTTGAGAGAGAAAAAAATCGCATGCTACCACGGAGCATAGGGGATATGGGTTAGCTAATCATAAATAAAATATAGAGTTGGGGAGTTTAAAATAGAAAGTATATGCCATTGATCGGTGGTACCCTCTACCCTTTCTGTCTTGCGAAATGCAATAGTCAATAGTCTAGTGGTGTCTTTGTCTTCTTTGATTGGTATTTAGTAATTGAACATATTAACACAAGGTACAATTTTATGGATACACAATTACTGAGTTTAATACTAAGCAACGTTTCGACGAGAGATGGGGTTTAACGTCCACTCGACACAAACTAGGTCATTTCGGGACTAACACATGGTTCAATTTTATTTCAATAATTCGCTTGCGCGTAGGTTTTTTTTAGCAGTAGGAGGAAATCGGGGGACCCGGAGAAAACCGTCGAGGTTGGACAGGCGACCCTACTCCTTGTCACGTACAACAGGGGAATCGAAACCCCGCCAGTTGACTCAATGACAGACCGTATGATACAGCGCGCACGTGCCTACCAACCACCCTATTATTTGCTTGATAAAGACGAGAGTATCCTCGTCTTTGTTTAAAAACACGGGTGAGCCCGTCTAGTACGACTGTGTCCCGTTCAAATTTAAAGTTTTTTTTACGATACTGATTGTATTCAATGTAATAATAAATGATTTAGATTAATTGTTTGTTAGTCTATATCTATTTATCGATCTAGTCCCGTCGGATTAATTTATATTGGAATGATAATAATGTGACTGATTGAATTTCTGCTTTTTATATGTGTTGTTTTAGTTTTTTGAGATAAATATATTTAGATAATATGCTGTTCATTTTCTGACGTAATATGAGATGACAATGACTAGTACCGATAAAGAAATAATATGCTTTTCTTTGAAAGAGAGAGCGAGAGAGAGAGAGGAGGGGAGAGAGTAGGTCATTTCGGGACTAGAATATGGTTCCATTTTTCGCCTGTGCGTAGGGGTCTTTAACTGTGTGTGGAAACCGGAGGACCCACGAGGTTGGACGGGCGTCCCCACTCCTTGTCACGTACAAGCGTGGAATCCAAAGCACGCAACTTGATACAATTACTGCCTTAAACGCGTTAAATCATTCAACCACCCAACCACCCAGCAGTCCGTTGAAAAGATAATCTCTTATAGAGTTAGGTACCTTTAAAATAAGCTTGGCATCACCAATCATCTACACATTTACGAGCTAAATGTATATGTACCATAATGATTAGTACCGATATTATTATGCAATTCGTAGGAAGGATTGTTATGTACCACAATGATTAGTACAGATGGAGGGATTATCTCTTAAAGTTACCAATATCATAAGGGGGGGGGGGGGTGGCTGAATGGTTAGCGTGTGCGCGCTGTATCATAAATTCTGTCATTGAGTCAACGTGACAAGGAGTAGGGTCGCCTGTCCAACCTCGTGGGTTTTCTCCGTGTCCTCCGGTTTCCTCCCACTGCTAAAGACCCCTACGAGCAAGCGAATTATTGAAATAAAATTAAACCATATGTTAGTCCCGAAATGACCTAGTTTTCGTCGAGTGGACGTTAAACCCCATCTCTCTCTCTCTCTCTCTCTCTCTCTCTCGCTCTCTCACCAATTTCATAAGCATGATAACGCATGACACAATTACAAAGAATACAAGTAATGTGTTATTCTCATCCAGTTACAATCTGATTAAAACACGGATCCTATTTCATTTCGTTTTTTATAGTTCAAAATTTCATTTTACTTGTCTTTACTGCACTAGGATCTGGCAGAATTGTTATATAACCCCTGTTCTTGTTGATGTGAGGGATTAGCCAATGAAACGATCTGTTATGGCGAGTTTTTGGCGTGAGTTGCACGGAACTGTTGGTAACCCACAGCTTGTATTCCATATAATTGTGTCATGTGTTTTTCTCATTCAGTTACTAAATGCCGCTGAAACAAAATAATAAACATCGTGATGCACACAATATTCATATAATTATGAACGGTGACTAAGTGGGTAAGACGCTGGCTCGCTAGCCTGGAGGTCGGGTGTTCGATACCTGCATTGGCCGAGAAAGTTCATCCAGATTTTCCGGCGTGGTTCCCCCTTGTCAGTGATGCAGGAGGGTCTGACAAGGACAGCTGTCTAGTCGTTCGGATGGGACGAAAAACCGAGGTCCCGTGTACACATTGGCGTGCACGGAAAAGATCCCATGACAGTTGGAATTCCCTCATAGCACACTGTTTGGTGTATAATGCCGTCTTCATTAGCCCAATTCGGTGCTGAACAGTAGGACGTTAAACCCCATTTCATTTCTTTTCATGAACCATGATGATTAGTATCGATACAGAATTCATGTACATAATTCGTTGGACAGATTATCTTATAGTACCTTGTACACATTTTATAGGTTAACTATGTATGAGCCTTAATAACTAATATATTTGCATAACTGCATGTTAGGGGGTCATTCCTGGTTCCATAAATGATACCACCCCCCCCCCCCCCATGACTTGTAAAGTACAGCGATTTTCAGTTTTAAGGGGAGAGAGAAAAGCCTCCCCTCGATCCACATTCGGGTGCGCGGCAGGTGCTCGAGAGTGATTGCTCGCCTTAATAAACAATGACTGTAATAACTAATATATTTCCAGATATCGTTATTGACCGATTGATATTCCAACTTTAGAATATCTTGAATAAAACGGCCCACGGAACATCTTGGCATTATGGCGATAATCCTTTCTATTTCAGTAGGTTTGATTGTCCATATGATTAATCTTAATCTAAGTCGATATGATCCTGGACAAAAATAGCCCTGGATTACGCAGGACGCAGGTATTAATAATATCTTTACAGATGTTAAAGCCAGAACAGGTCGAATATAGGTTGCAGTGGTACGTGCAAACCCCATTCTATCATGCGCCTGAAACGTGATTTTCGATAACTCTGCCAAAAAACCAAAAAAATTATAGTGGGAAGTTGTCACGCCTCTAGGGTATCGACATGTTTATCCAGGCCCCAAGTGATTGCTGCTCAATAAGCTTGTTTCGAGCTTCACTTGATAACTATAGCGTTGGTATTTCTTTGGAAATGTATCACAGTTGCTTGGGACTACAATGTAGGGACCTGTTTCACGACATTTTAACTAAGATAAAATCCAAATTTTAGTAATTTAGATTGATTTTAGTGCTTAGACAATCAAAATAGTAGTATCTACTAAAATTTCGATTTTATCTTTAGTTAAAGATACATTATGTAAGATTTAGATAAAGAACTAGCCATTCTTGCTATAATAGTTCGAAAGTAGATGATGTAAAATGAATAGTTTGAAAATTTTATTCAAATTACTCTACTGCAAGCAAAGATATTAGCCTTTGAAGGTTTGACAGACGTCTGCAATAATTTCAACCACCGTACTGGTTGATCGAAGCTAAGTCTCGGTCCTCCATATTTGATTAAATCAAAGTATCGCTGAACCATTCTAATCTATTTAATATCGGAGAAATCTGATGCCATCGAGAGTTGATTAAGGCCTGGATCAGTTAATTAATGTTTAATTAATAATTTAGAAAACATTTAAGGCCTAAAGAAAGACCTGCAATAGGCAGATTTAGCTCTTGCATAATGCATGTTTAATATTTCGAGAAACCAGGCCCAGGATATAAAGTTTCATGGACCGGGATGAACTGTTTATCTTGTGGGTCTGTATATAAAATCTTTGTCTATCCCTTTTCCCCTATCATCTGTCAGTAAACTCTAATGTTTGTATTCTTCTTAACCGTAGTATTATACTTGTACAAATATGACCCGAAGGATTGTCACCAAATTAAACGCCGAGTCATTCAATTAAATAGTCTGTTTGGTGATTTTTTTGTTGAAACCAAACACATAAAAACAGGTTGAGACTCTTATTAATTGCATGCACTTACCACCAAGAGTTGAAAATGTTTAACGTATTGGTAAATGTTTGTATGTCTGAAGTGAAAAGGGCGGGAAAAATTGAATCTAGATTATAATTCGAAACAGGATTGTTTAATGATGGGAGAAAAGACTTTGATGCATCGTCTCCAAATTGTATATTTTTAACCCAATTTATGGAAATATTTATTATTATAAAGTGACATATCTGGTGTTGTTAAACAGTCAATGGAACGTGATATCATTCGTTTAACAGTACTTGAAAGAACTGAGAAATACAGTTGATATTTATGTCAGGATAACCTATATTTTATTACTGTTCTCGAAATAGCTAA